CATGGACCCCGTCATCAACTAGAAACTCAGGAGGGAACAAAACACACAGACACAATTAATCGGCGATTCCCTAGAACATATTGGAAAATATGGGAAGTGGGGGGGAAGACAAAAACCCAGAAAATACGGAAAACATGGGGAATCATTTTGTTTGTGTGTATTTATTTGTGTGTCCTGGGGCCCCTTCAGAAACAGCCGACCGCATTTTCATCCGATATCTTGATCCCCCGCAGTGCAAAGAAGATGGTCGCGCTTCGCTTCGTGGCGTGGTTTGGAGAGGCATCCTTCCCAGGGGGCGGCGCAAGAGTGAGCGAGGATCGTCCAGCCGCCATGCCAGCCCAGCATTCTGGGTGGCGAGTGTGTGAGGGGGCATGGGAGCAGTCACGCATGACAGCTCGTGTCTTCAGGGTTGGGGGAGCCGTGGTGGGGATGATGAGCATTATGATGATGGGGATGATGGTGATGTTGATGTGATAGTTTTGTTGCTGATGATGATGGTGATGCTGATGACGACGATGATGACGCTGACGATCACGACGACGACGACGACGACGACGACGACGACGACGACGACGACGACGACGACGACGACGACGACGACGACGACGACGACGACGACGACGACGACGACGACGACGACGACGACGACGACGACGACGACGACGACGACGACGACGACGACGACGACGACGACGACGACGACGACGACGACGACGACGACGACGACGACGGTGGTGGTGGTGGTGGTGGTGGCGGTGGTGGTGGTGGTGGTGGTGGTGGTGTTGGTGGTGATGATGGTGGTGATGATGATGACGAGGCGGAGGAGGAGGCATAGCAGGAGGAGGAGGAGGAAGAGGAGGAGGAGGAGGAGGAGGAGGAGGAGGGAAGGCCGTCACATGTGACACCTGCCGTCTTCACTATTTGAGAAGCTCTCATGGAACTCCTCGTGGGGGTCTTGGGGCCCTCTTACGCCATCTTGGGGCTATTTGAGACTGTCTTGGGGCCATCTTGGCCGTATGGTGGGTGTCTGGGAGCCGGCGTCGTGGGGCTGTCTTGGCGCCGTCGAAGGGCCTTCTCAGACCTTGTTGGGACCCAACGGAGGCTATCTGGGGCCTTCTTAGGGCCATCTTGGAATCCTATTGGGACCCTCTTGGGTCGTCTTGGGACCATCGTGGAGCTTTTGGGCTGGGCCGTCTTGATCTGACGGATGCCCGGAAAGGTGAGACTGCGAGAATCATGTAAAAACAGAACAGGAATCAATGATGATGGCTTCTTCGGACCCTGTTGGCGGTCCTCTTGTGGCCCTCAGTGGCCCTCTTGTAGGCATCTTGGGCCGCCTTGAGCCATCCTGGGCCGTCTTCGAGGCATCATGGGCCATCATGGTTGCTTGGGTTGCATGCCTGGACCATCTTGGAAGCTCGGGACGAGGACTCATAGCTTTCACGAGGGATCGTGGCCTCGGGAGTGCGGATCCATTGCTTATGCACATGGGATCGTGGCCTCGGGAGTAGAGGCGATGCACGCACCTGTCTGCGACTAGGGGAGAGGGGGTCCTTTATCATGGCGCCAACATCGCAGAGCGGACTTCGTTCGAAAAACGATCGGATGGTCCCGGAGTGTCCTGGAGAATTTCGTTCCGGATTTCGATGTGAATTTCGTGCGGATTCTTCTTGGCCTGGAATGAAGACTAAAACAAATCCACGCGACATTCACTTCGTTTTCCACTCGCCGTTCCGGGGTTTTGCGTGGACAGAAGTCCATGCACAAATCCGCTGCAGCACATCTGCAAGAGTGGCGCGCCGACAAAAACCCTACCAGACAGCACTTGGCATTCTGTCACGGTTGGAGGAACTGGCTGCTATGGAGGCAGCTGAGGGGCAACAGCCCCTATCTGCAAGGGGAAACGCGGGACGGGAGGCTAGCCGATGAGGACGACCTGATCCGCTACGTGGCGTTCTTGTACAATGTCGTGGGACCTCGAGCCACCGCCATCAGGCAGAAACTGTTCGCCATTCGGTATGCGCACACCCTGGACGGGTTTGGTGACGTCACCGCGGACCGTCGGCGGTTATGGACCACGATGGAGGGGCTACGGCGCGCCCCGACGCGCCAGGGGCCACAGTGGCAGAGCGCGCTTCGTGTTTCGGGCGGCCACGGCAAGAACGCACCAGAGAAAGAAGCAGGCCTGCCGTGGGGGGATCGCAGCGGCAGCCTTCTCGCACTCCGATGGGCCCGCAGAGCACTCGGGTTAAGTCCGGCCTGTCCCTCTGCAGGAGGATGTTTTAAACATAGTTAAACAAATTAAATAACAAAACAGTCTGGGGACGATGTTTAAACCATACTTGATTATCTGTTGATTTTCGTTTTAATTTGTTGGGGGTATTCTTTCGATTTTTTTTTGTTGAGCGGGGGTTAAAAAAGTCAAGGGACGATTTTTAAAACCATGTTTGATTGTTGTTTGGTTACTTTTGGGGTATTCTCCATGTTCATCCAGAATCCGCCTGTGGGGGACACGCCCGACCTAAGGCTACAGTACGAGCACACCAGAAATGAAGCAGGCCTGCCAGGGGGTGCGCCGCGACAGCGTCTCGCACTCCGTTGGGACCGCAGAGCACTCGGGCACCCTGCGACTCGGGGAGACAATTGTCAGGTGGTGGGGATGGGGTTCGGAGAAGAGAGGGTATCCTTACCCGTTGGCGGCTGAAGGTGTCGTTCACTGCATCCGGATGCAGTTGCTCATGCCTTTCATCCTCCCAGCCCCTTCCTCCCAAGACGGTGATTGTTCGCCTCAGCGACGCCCGGAGTCGACGAAGAGGGTGCGTCCCCCCAGAGCTCTCACAGCAGGCTGCCTTCTCTCTTGTCGCACGCGCCTGCTGTAGAAGGGCAACGAGGAGCAGGAGGAGGAGAAGGAGGAGGAACAGTGTCCTGGAGCGTCCTGGGCGCCACAGTCCACGTGGCCTAAGAGGAGGAGGAGGAGGAGGACCAGGAGGAGGAGGAGGAGGAGGTCAGGAGGAGAGGGAGGATGAGGAGCAGGAGGTGGAGGAGGAGGAGGAGCAGGAGCAGGAGCAGGATCAGGAGCAGGATGTTGATGGTGATGATGCTGATGATGCTGATGATAATGATGATGATGATGATGATGATGATGATGATGATGATGATGATGATGATGATGATAGTGATGATAGTGATGATAGTGATGATAGTGATGCTGATGCTGATGCTGATGCTGATGAGGATGCTGATGATGATGACGATGATGATGATGCTGCTGATGATGATGATTATGATGATGGTGGTGATGGTGGTGATGATGGTGATGATGGTGATGATGGTGATGGTGATGGTGATGGTGATGGTGATGATGATGATGCTGATGATGATGATGATGATGATGATGATGGTGATGATGATAGTGATGGTGATGGTGATGGTGATGATGATGATGATGATGATGATGATGATGATGAGGAGGAGGAGGAGGAGGAGGAGGAGGAGGAGGAGGAGGAGGACGACGAGGAAGACGACGACGGGAGCCAGCAGGTGGCCGCTCTGGCTCGCAGCGAGGCCTCGCCGGTCCGGTCCATACTGAAGCTCAGCAGCGCGGCCCGCGCGGCGCGCGCCCCGGGGCGGAGACCAAAATGGCACGGGGCCGGGCCCTGCTCCTGTGCGCACTGCTCGCGCTCCCGCGCCTGCCGTGCGCCGCGCGGGCCGAGGCGTCGGGCAAGAGCCAGGAGCCCGCAGCAGATCGGAGGGGGGGCCTAGAAGTTGGCACTCGCACCGAGTCGGGCCTGTCCCTCTACCGGGGGAGTATGCAAGAACAGGCAGAAAGCAGACATGGGACGATGCTTTGGGTCTTGTTTGGCTCTTGTGTGGAGTTTTTTGTTTTTTATTTTTCCTCCAGAACCCGCCTGTAGGGGGACATGCCCGACCTAACAATCACCCCAGTATCCCTGGGAGGCGGCACAAAGGGGGGTGACGACTAGTGGGGGTGGATACAATGGAAAGGGCCATGATATCTCCCCCGATTTCATGGCGCCTCTTTTCATTTGATTATTACGTCCCTGGCCCCCCCCTGGGCCGCGCACATGCCGCCGGCTATGATTTGCGCCCCCCCTCTTGGAACCCCCTCTTGGACGCCCCCGATATTCAGGCAGGCCTTGAATCGGGAGAAGCCGCTCCAGAGCGTTCCGGAGCGCTCTCAGAGCGCCCCAGAGCGCTCTGAGACGGCCGCGGCGCCTTATACATCCTTTAGGCCCGCCGTATCCCAGCGATCCCCGATGTTATCCCTATCTTGGCTTCGTCTTGAGTCTCGGTAAATTGCTTCCACCGAGGGAAGAGGATCCTGATCTCTGCGATCCGAGAGACGATCACCAGCGCCAGAATCGAGGATCGGCTTCCTCCAGTGTATAAGTGAGCCCCTGCACGGGTGGTGGCACTTCGCAGGCCCCTGGTGAGAAGCATCCGTACACCACCATGCCCAACCAGGGCCGATCTGGTCTGTAGGATGCTAGGTTTAAGTCGGAGATGTCCCTCTACAGGAGGAATATCCCAGAATTGTGAAAATATACTCTGGGGACGATTGTTCGACAGTTGTTCGACTTCTTCGAATATGCGCTGGACCATTTACTGTTGCTCTTCAAAGTACGCCTGTAGGAGGACATGCCCGACCTAATGCTAGGCCCTCCTGGCCTCTGCGGGGGGGCCGTGCCGTCGGGGCCACCCCGCTGCGGCAGCGCACGCCGGCCGCGTCCTGGTCCTCAGGCCGTCCACGCCCCGAGCTCTTTCGAAATCCTGCGCCGCGGGGTGGGGTGACACGCTAGCCGCTTGCGGGGCACAGCGTATCGCTGGGGCCACCACCGCGGCACGCTGAGCAAAAGCTCCTGACCGTATGCGCTCCATGCCAGGGCTCAGGACCGCCTTGGCCAGGCATGGAAATGGTGTGTGGATGCCTTCTGCTTAAGGAGGACCCTGTAAACAAGATTATCCGGCTCCTGACGGATATGAAAGACCAGGTGGAGAAGGAAGCTTCAGCGGACATGGTCGGTTACAACAAGTACATGTGTTGGTGCGACACCAACAGGAAGGAGAAGACGGAGGCCGTCGAGATCGCAACCAAAAAGATCGCTGAGCTGACCACGTTCTTGGAGGAGGGAGCGGCCAAGAAGGAGAAGTTGAAAACAGAAATTCAGGGCCTGGCTGCCGACATCGCCGAAGACACCGAGACGCTGGCCACTGCGACGGCGCTGCGCCAGGATCAAAACTCGAAGTTCAAAGGGGCGGAGGCCGACATGAAGGAGACCCGCCAGCTCCTGACTGAGGCTGTGGAGGTGCTTTCCAAGGTTCAGTTGCTCCAGACGGGCGCCCCTGGAGCAGAGGCCGAGAAGGCCAAGACAGCCCTTGTGCAGGTCCGCAACATTGTCAGCAGGCGATTCCCGAAGTACGAGAGCATCATGCAGCGCGACTTCTATGACGTTCTGGGATCCTTCGACGAGATGACACAGTCCAGCCAGGTGCTCACCGGCGCGTTCACGAGCGACGCCGATCGTGCGAAGGCTGCCTCGTTGGCACAGTCCGCACAAGAGGGCCGACTGCTGCCCTGGGAGAAGACGGAAGAGCAGCTCGGCCAGGAGAAGAAACCGAACGAGCTCATCGGAGCCGCCGCCGGCGCCAAGTCGTACAACGCCCGCAGCGGCCGCATCCTCGGAGTGCTCAGCGAGCTGAAGGACGAGTTCACGAGGGACTTGGCACAGGCAACCTACGAAGAGTACCTGGCACTCGTGTCGTTCCAGAAGCTGAAGTCTGCGAAGGCCTCCGAGATCTTCATCGCCACCGAGACGAAGAAGCGCAAGGAGTCCGCCCTCGCCGATCTCCTCGACGCCATCGCGAAGGCCAAGGCGGACAAGGCCGCGATGGAGGACGCCAAGGCGGCGGACGAGGCGTTCCTCGCCCAGCTCGAGCAGAGCTGCAAGGACGAGGACGCGGCCTACCACCAGCGCCTCGCGGCCCGCACCGAGGAGATCCGGGCGCTGTCCGAGGCCCTGAAGATCCTCACCGAGGACGCCCAGGCTTCCCAAATAGGGTCCGAATAGATGGGGTTGGTGGATCGCGCCACGTCGCTGATGCATTGGCCATGCGGCTCGACGTGGAGCCCAGTGTTCTGGACGCCGATGCATCGCCGATGCATCGGCGATGCATCGGCGATGCGGCTCGCTCCAACGACCCCATCTGCTTCGACCCAACTTGGCGGCCTCCAGGACGACGCCCGCGCCACGTTCGGCCGCTCCTTCAGCCTGCTGCAGCAGCGGTCGCAGCGGAGGGCGTCCACCGAGGCGGAGCTCGCGCAGGACCGGCGTTCCGAGAAGGCCATGCAGCGCATCGCGGCGATCGCCAAGAAGCACAAGAATTGGGCGCTAGTGTCGCTGGCCGTGCGCACCCGCCTGGACTCCTTCAAGGAGGTAATCGCTGCCATGGACACCATGGCGGCCGAGCTGGCAACTCAGCAGAAGAAGGAATACGAGAAGTGGGAGACCTGCAAGTCCGAGATCGACAAGACCGAGGACACCATCAAGGTGGAGGAGCGCACGAAGAAGGAGCTCGGCGAGACGCACACGTCGCTGGTGGACAAGATCGGCACTCTGAACGGCGAGATAGCCGAGCTCCGGAAGCAGGTGGCCGACAACGAGGTGGCCCTCAAGGACGCCGGCGAGGACCGGAAGGCCGAGAACCAGCTGTACCAGGCCTCCGTCATGGACCAGCGCGCCACGGTGCGCATCCTCGAGAAGGCCCTCGCGCGCCTGAAGACGTACTACGCCATGCTGCAGACGGAGCAGCCCGTGCCCGGCGCCACCGCGCCTGCGCCGCCGGCCAGGGGCAAGGTTCGGGGGCCGCCGCGGTGTACACCAGCGCAGGTCCTGGCCAGGCCAACCCTGGGCTCAGGATATCATCGGTGTCACCCCAACCTGCTGACACTACGTGTACGTCGCCCCCCCCCCCCCCCCCGAGAGATCTGACAGTGTGTGCGTCGTGGCGGGCGCTTCCTGGCCACACCGCTCGGGGAGCGATACGCTACAAGATGGGCGTACTACGTGTTCGGGTCGGACGCGCGCCTCCGAGGAGGACGCGCTGCACCAGCATGAATCTCTGTGCGTGCCAACATCTCGCTGCTCCGAGGCGGGCGGCCTGGTCACCACCGCCCAGGGGGGTGTCGGTCGTGGGGGGCCTCCGCGGGCCGCGGGTAGATGCCGAGCCCAGGGTTCTCTGTTGGAGGTTTGCCCCCGGAACCGACGGCTGTGGGGCCGGCGAAAGTATCTGCGATAAATATCGACTACACGTAAGAGTGACCCTTCGCCGGAGTGACCTCTGGTGCGGGCCCATTGGGGTCCCCGATCGCCGAACGCCGGGCGGCAGTGGCGTCTTGCGCGCTTGTGTTTTGCCCCCCCCCCCCCCCCCCCCCCCCCGCGGCCCCCAAAAGGTCGCGCACCAAAGGTCACTCTTACCCAGGGTCACTTTTACATGTACCCGAAAATAACGAAATCGCTTGAGGATGTCTCGAGCGAAATGCTGGTTCTACAGAGTTCGGGGATGTCTCGAGCGGGGGCCTCGTGAGGGTTCAGAATTCAGAGGGTATCTCAGGCGAAATGCTTGATTTCACGTGCCCAGGTCGGCCAGGGGGGTATCCAAAATGGTTGTACGCCGCTGGCGCCCCAGACGACCGCATGTTGGATATCCCCCCTGGGTGGGCTGGAACCGTGAGTTTTTCGGTGTGCAGGCCATCAGGGGGTATCTAACATGGTGGTCCCGAGCTGGAATCACGTGTTTTCACGTGTCCAGCCCACCAAGGGGGGTATCTAACATGGTGGTCCCGAGTTGGAACAACGTGTTGTTACATGTTCAGGCCACCCAGGAGGATTATCTAACATGGTGGTCCTGCGCTGGAACCGTGTGTTTTCAAGTGTCCAGGCCACCCAGGGGGGTATCTAACATGGTGGTCTTGCGGTGGAACTACGTGTTTTTACCTGTTCAGGCCACCGAGGGGGATATCTAACATGATTGTCCCGAGCTGGAACCACGTGTTTTTACGTGTCCAGGCCGCCCAGGTGGGATATCCAACATGGCGTCAGGCCCAACGCCGAAGTATCAGGAAACGCAGGGGGGCCCGAACAGCGCTACCCAAACACATATCCCAAAACAGGAAAGTGATGTTGTTTTTCTCTGGACAGGGGTGGCGCTTTGGGGCCTCCCCAGGGAAGACATTGCGAGGATGTCTCGAGCGGGAGCGCGAATCCAGCGTATCCAGGCCACCCAGGGGGGTACCTAACATGGTTGTCCCGAGCAAGGACCATGTGTGTTAACGTGTCCAGGCAACCCAGGGGTGTATCGAACATGGTTGCCCACAACTGATCCTACGTTTGTTTACGCGTCCAGGCCACCCATGGGGGATATCTAACATGGTACATGGTGGTCCTGCGGTGGAACTGATTGGTTTTACCTGTTCAGGCCACCAAGGAGGATATCCAGCATGGTCCTCCCGAGCTGGAACCACCTGTTTGCACGTGTCCAGGCCGCCCAAGGAGGTATCTAACATGGTGGTCCAGAGCTGGAATCATGTGTTTTTACATGTTCAGGCCACCCAGGAGTTTTATCTAACATGGTTATCCTGCGCTGGAACTGCGTGTTTTTACGTGTCCAGGCCACCCAGGGGGGTGTCTAACACGGTTGTCCCGAGCTGGAACCACATGTTTTTACATGTCCAGGCCACCCAGTGAGGTATCTAACATGATTGCTCCGAATTTGAACCACGTGCTTCTACGTGTCCAGGCCGCCCAATGTGGATATCCAACATGGCGTCGGGCCCAACGCCGAATTATCAGGAAACGCAGGGGGGCCCGAACAGCGCTACCCAAACACATATCCCAAAACAGGAAAGTGATATTGTTTTTCTCTGGGCAGGGGGTGGCGCTTTGGGGGCCTCTCTAGGGGAGACATTGCAAGGATGTCTCGAGCGGGAGCGCGAATCCAGCGTATCCAGGACACGCAGCGGGGGTATATAGCATTGTTGTCCCGAGCTGGAACAAAGTGCTTTGACATGTCCAGGCCAACCGGAGGCGGTATCTAACATGATTGTCCCGAGCAAGGATCATGTGCTTTAACGTGTCCAGGCCACTCATTGGTGTACCTAACATGGTTATCCCGAGCTGGCACCATGTGTTTTTACATGTCCAGGCCATCCGGGGGGGAACCTTACATGGTTGCCCCGAGCAAGGACCAAGGCCACCCAGGGGTGTATCTAATATGGCTGCCTAGAGCTGACATGCACGTGTTTGCGGGTCCAGGCCACCCAGGGGGGTGTCTTACATGGCTGTCCGGAGCTGGAACCACATGTTTTTTACATGTCCAGGCACTTAATGAGATATCTAACATGATTGCTCCGAGTGTGAACCATGTTTGTACGTGTCCAGGCCGCTCAGGGTGGGTATCTAACATGGCGTCGGGCCCAACGCTGAATTATCAGGAAACGCACGGGAGGCCGAACAGCGCTACCCGAACACAAGTCATTTTTTCTTGCTCTGGACAGGAAGTGGCGCTTTGGGGGCCTCTCCAAGGAAGACACTGCGAGGACGTCTCGAGCGGGAGCGCGAACCCAGCGTATCCAGGCCACGCAGGGGGGTATCGAGCATGGTGGTCCCGAGCTGGAACCAAGTGTTTTTACGTGTCCAGGCCACCCAGGGGGATATCTAACAGGATTGTCCCGAGCTGGGGCCACGTGTTTGTACGTGTCCAGGCTGCCCAGGACAGGTACCTAACATGGTTGTCCCGAGCTGGCGCCACGTGCTTTTACGTGTCCAGGTCACCCAGGGGGGTATCTAACATGGTTGTTCCGAGCTTGAAATATCATGTGTGGTTCACGTGTCCAGGCCACCCAGGGGGGTATCTAACATGGTTGTCCCGAGCAGGGACCATGTGTGTTAACGTGTCCAGGCCACCCAGGGGTGTATCGAACATGGTTGCTCACAGCTGGTCCCACGTGTGTTTACGCGTCCAGGCCACCCAGGGGGTATTAACGTGGTTGTGCCGAATGGGTGCCACGTGGTTTTACGTGTCCAGGCCGTCTTGGGGGTATTGAACATAGCGGTACCAAGTGCTTTCACGTGTCCAAGCCACCTAGAGGATATCTAACATGGGCCTCAAGGGCCTTCCTGGGGGCCTGGAACGGACGTCTAACATGAAGATTTGTTGAGGATATCTTGAGCGAACCATTTGTCTTCACGTGTCCCATTCGCCCAGGCGGATGTTTAGCATGAGGTGGCACGTCCATTGGCTCGTTCCGTAGAGCGTCCCCCTTTAGCGCGTCCTGCGGTGCGTCTCCACGGCACGTCCCCTGGCACGTCGCCTGGCGCATCCCTTGGGACGTTCCGTGGCGCGTCCCCCTGGCCCGTCTCCTTGTCAAGTAGCTTTGGGGCAGCTGCTATGTTCTCAGGCAGCTCGAGCTTAAGATCCAACTCAGTTCGGTCAGGACTCGGATGCAAAGGAGGACTCGATCCACAACACTATAGAGCACACTCTCGGTATGGCACATCGCCGTTCAGCACGGCGCAGCACAGCACAGCCCTCGGCACGGTACACCAAGATCGATACACCCAGCATTGCAATTTGGCACGTTCCTTTGCACGTTCCGTGACGCGTCCCGTCTCGAGTCCCCCTGACACGTCGCGCGGCGCGTCCCCTGGCACGTCCCGTGGCACGTCCATCGGCACGTTCCGTAGCGCGTCCCCTTGGCATGTCCCGCGGTGCGTCCCCATCGCACGTCCCCTGGCACGTCGCCTGGCGCGTTCTTGGGACGTTCCGCGGCGCGTCCTCCTAGCATGTCCCCCTGTAAATTAGCTCTGGGGCAGCTACTATGTGCTCAGGTAGCTCGAGCTTAAGATTCAAACCAGTTCGGTCAGGACTCGGATGCAACGGAGGACTCCATCCACAGCGCTATAGAGCACAATCGCGGCATGGCGCATCGCAGTTCAGCACGGCGCAGCACAGCACAGCCCTCGGCACGGTGCATCAAGATCGATACACTCAGCATTGCGTTTGCCCGTCGTCCAATCAGTTGTACGTTGCCATGCCTTACGTTTCTATATTCCTTTCCGGTTTCGTGGGTCGATCATATTGCCCTTTACTTATCATTCAGGCCGGTGGGGCCGACCATGACCAGAGCCACCACCAGCTGAGGGCTCTGGGCATACGTGCGCATACCGTCCTGACCAAGACAGGAGGGCATACACACACCGACGCAGACACACCTAGACACAGACATACAGACACAGACATACAGACACACAGACACACAGAGACACACAGACACACACACATACACCCACACACATACACCCACACACCCACACCCACACCCACACCCACACGCACACGCACACGCACACACACACACACGCACACACGCACACACAGACACACAGACACAGACAGACACACAGACACAGACACACAGACACACAGACACTCAGACACACAGACACACACAGACACACACACACACACGCGCACACGCACACACGCACACACGCACACACGCACACACGCACGCACGCACGAACGCACACACGCACGCACGCACGCACGCACGCACGCACGCCGGCCCGCCCGCCCGCACGCACGCACGCCCGCCCGCCCGCCCGCCCGCGCCCGAACACACACACACACACACACTTACACACACTTACACACACTTACACACACTTACACACACTTGCACACACTTGCACACACTTACACTTACACACACACACTTACACTTACACACACTTACACACAACACACACAACACACAACACACACACACACAACACACAACACACACAACCACACAACACACCACACACAACACACAACACACAACAAACACACAACAAACACACACGCACACGCACACGCACACGCACACGCACACGCACACGCACACGCACACGCACACGCACACGCACACGCACACGCACACGCACACGCACACGCACACGCACACGCACACGCACACGCACACGCACACGCACACGCACACGCACACGCACACGCACACGCACACGCACACGCACACGCACACGCACGCGCACGCGCACGCGCACGCGCACGCGCACGCGCACGCGCACCGCACGCGCGCACGCACACGCACACGCGCGCGCACACGCGCACGCACGCGCGCACGCACACGCGACGCACACGCACACGCACCCACACCACACACACACACACACGCACACACACACACCACACGCACACACACACACACACCCACACACACACGCACACGCACACGCATACGCACACGCATACGCATACGCGCACGCGCACGCGCGCGCACGCGCGCGCGCGCCCGCGCGCCCGCGCGCGCCCGCGCGCCCGCGCCCCGCGCGCCGCGCACCCGCGCACCCGCGCGCCCGCGCCCGCGCACCCGCGCACCGCGCACCCGCGCACCCGCGCGCACCCGCGCACCGCGCACCCGCGCGCGCGCGCACCCGCGCACCCGCGCACCCGCGCACCCCCACCCCACACCCCCACACCCCCACACCCCACACCCCACACCCCCACACCCCCACACACACATACACACATACACACGCACGCGCACGCGCACACGCACACGCACACGCACACGCACACACACACACACACCACACACCACACACCACCACACACACACACACACCACACACCACCACACACACACAATCACACACACAAACGCACGCACGCACGCACGCACGTACATACACAAACACACGCACACGCGCACACGCGCACACGCGCACACGCGCACACACGCATACACGCACACACGCACACAATCACACAATCACACACGCACGCAGCACGCACACGCACACACAATACACACGCAAGCACGCACTCATGCACACACGCACACAGCACGCACACGCACACACAATACACCGATCCTGGGCCCAGGACGGGGCTGGGTAGGGCCGATGTAGAGTGTATAACGTCGGCGCCCCCGTGCAGGCGTACGAGAAGGGCGCCGGCGCCGCAGGCGTCCTGCAGGTCATCCAGATGGTCATCGAGGACGCCACGCGCACAGAGCAGGCGCTCGACAAGGACGAGAACGATGCGCAGAAGCGCTATGCGGCCATCGTGAACGACCTCACGGCCAGCATCGAGGCGGACCGCATCGCGATCGAGGAGAAGGAGCAGCAGGTCGCCGCAACCGAGGTGGAGAAGAGCGAGACAGAGGAGGCCCAGCTGGCCAACGAGGAGGAGCTCAAGAACCTGGCGGAGCTGTTGCACGCGCACCACCTGGAGTGCGATCCACATGGCTGCCGCCACATCCGCCGACCCCCCTCGCGTTTCCGAGGCTGCGGCTGGCCGCCGCAGGCGTGGATGCCAGGGAACTTGAGCGGGGGGCGGAGACGAGAAGATCGTGGAGGGGGCGCAGAGGACGAGGACAAAGGGGAGGATGAGACGGAGGAACATAAGGGGCAAGAGAGAGAGAGGGAGAGAGAGAAAAAAGAAGAAGAAACAAATCCATTCACATCAATTCGAAACGGTGCTTGGCGGGTCGGCAGGGGCCCCCGTACTTCCTGGCGTTGGAGCGGCCCCAGAGCGGCCCCAGAGGGCGCCAAGAGAGTTGTTCAACGGCACCAGGACGCCTCAAGCTGGCCTTCGGGGCCCCGAAGATGCCCAAAGAGAGCCCCAGGAAGGCCGAAAAGAGTTCCAAGACGCCCTAAGATAGCCCCAGGACGGCCCAAGAGGCCCCGTAGACGCCCCAGGAGGTCCCCAGGACGACTTGAAAGAGGGCTTCAAGCACACATCGTCCAAATTCATTAAGTTTTTGCATGATTTGCGCATTGCCGCCCTGTTCGCCCTCACGACGCCTCCGACGGCCCAAGAGACCGCCAGAATCGGCACGAGACGGCCCAAGAGACCCCCACGAGATTCGAAAGACGGCCCCAGAGGCCACCAAGCGAGCTCCAACACGGCCCCAGGGGCCCCCAAGAAGGCCACATACTCCCCCTGGACGAGTCCAGGAGGCCCCAAATACGGTCCCAAGATGTGCCCGAGAGACGCTATCCGAGCTGATATGTCGTGTTTTCCATCCCACGATGGCCACAAAAGCCCAAAAGAGGTCCCCGAGGGGCCCCCAACAGGCTCCCAGAGGCCCCCTAAGAGGACCCCCAGAGGCCCCAAGAGGCCCCAAGAGCCCTTGGTAGAGAGGGCCCCAGGTTGAGCCAAGAGCGCCGTAGTTGCCCCGCTCCACTTTCGCATCCGCTGCGGCCCCTGGGCGATTCCATATTTTTCCCAGCAGGGGCGTCGGCCCAGGGTTCTCTTTTAGCTCTTTACCCCCGGAATCGACGGCTGTAGGGCCAGCGAAATGATCTGCGATACGGAACGGGGTCGAGCAGGGCTGGCGAAATGATTGTTGATGTCTCGAGCGAAACGCTTGTTTTGTCTCAGAATGTGTTGATGATGTCTCGAGCTAAACGCTTGGTTTGTGTTATAGATGGTTCCCCGCCTGGGGACCAGAATTCAGAGGATGTCTCAGGTGAAATGCTTGATTTCACGTGCTCAGATCTTGAGGATGTCTCTCTCTGTTTCCCCATATCCTCAGATGGGGTTCTTGTTATTACTTGGACGCCTCCTACTCCTCCTCCTTCTTCCTCCTCCTCTTTTCTCGTCCCCTCCTGTCGGACATACTCAGACTTGCTCATACACAGACTTACTCATACTCAGACTTACTCATACTCAGACCTACTCATACTCAGACTTACTCACACTCAGACATACTCATATACAGACTTACTCATACACAGACTTACTCATACACAGTATTAGTCATACCCAGACGTACACATACACAGACTTACTCATACACAGACTTACTCATACTCAGCACCCCTAAGGGGAGCCGCCAGGGGTGGTTGCACGGGCTCGTTCGCGGCCATTTTGTGGGGATGTCTCAGGCGGTTTGCCTGTTTCTGTGCCCAACATCCTTCGCTTTCGGAGCAGATTTGGAGGATGTCTCGAGCGAGGCGCTCATTTCAGCACCCCTAAGGGGAGCCGCCAGGGGTGGTTGCACGGGCTCGTTCGCGGCCATTTTGTGGGGATGTCTCAGGCGGTTTGCTTGTTTCTGTGCCCAACATCCTTCGCTTTCGGAGCAGATTTGGAGGATGTCTCGAGCGAGGCGCTCATTTCAGCACCCCTAAGGGGAGCCGCCAGGGGTGGTTGCACGGGCTCGTTCGCGGCCATTTTGTGGGGATGTCTCAGGCGGTTTGCCTGTTTCTGTGCCCAACATCCTTCGCTTTCGGAGCAGATTTGGAGGATGTCTCGAGCGAGGCGCTCATTTTCACCCCCCAGGTGGGCCAGATTTTGAGGATGTCTCGATCGGTTTGCTAGTTTTGGTGGCCAGGCTCGTGGGCGCAGATTCTTCTCAGGATGCCACAGGAGGCTCCAACAGGCTCCAGGAGGCTCCAGGAGACCACATGAGGTCCCAGGAGGCATCAGGAGGCCACAGAAAGACTCAAGAGGCCACAGGATGTCCCAAGAGGCTCCAGGAGGCCCCAGGAAGCTCCAGAAGGCCTCAGGAAACCACAGGAGACCCCAGGAGACAACAGGAAGCGCCAGGAGGCCTCGGAAGGCAACAGGAGGCCCCGAGAGGCCCCAGGAGCAGGAGGCCTCAGAAGGCAACAGGAGTGGCTCCAATCCCATGTGTTTTACGTATGCTCCTATCGATTGGGCCTCACCTGGAGCACGATTCTTTGATGTTCTACGTATGTTTCTATAGATGGTCCTTCTCCTGTGTACACAATCCTAAATGTTTTACTCATGTTCCTATGTATTGGGCCTCTCCTGGGGCACGAGTCCTTGGTGTTTTACGCGTGTTCCTATAGATTGCCCTTCTCCTGTGGCTCTAATCCGCAATGTTTTATGTACGTCTGTTGCTATAGATTGCGCCTCCCCTGGGGCACGAAACCTTCCTAGGAGGTCCCAGGAGGTCCCAAGAGGCTCCTGGAGACCCCAGGAAGCCCCAGTAGGTTTCAGGAGGCCCCAGGAGGCCCCAGGCTCATGCACAGAGACGCGCTCGTACTACTGAGGCTCATTCACACTCCAATTCATTCGCAGTTAGATTGATGTCCAGACCGTCACAACTGAAGCCCGTTAATATTCGAAAGTTCTTGCGCCTAGACATTCACGGCGGACAGGTCCATGCGAGTAGATGCACATATGGGGAGCTCCACGCAGTGAATATGTTTTTTGTTCTCTCTCTCCCTCTCTCTCTCTCTCTTTCTCTCTCTCGAGAGACGCTTCGAGGATGTCTCGAGCGAAATTCTTGTTTTACAGAACTCGAGCGGCCTGGGCGCCCCAGGATGCCCAGGTGGTTCTGGGAGTCCGAACGCAATGTAATTTCCTAAGGAACGTGGCCCTGGGAGCGCGGACGCAGCGTAATTCACCAGGGAGCGCAGCCTTGGGAGCGTTGACGCAGCGTAGTTTACAAGGGACCGTGGCCCTGGCAGCACGGTGCCCTGGCACGTTTCGTGGCGCGTCCCGTGGCGAGTCCCTTTGGCACGTCGCGCGGCGTGTCCCCTGGCACGTCCCGTGGCACGTCCAGTGGCACGTTCCGTAGCGCGTCCGTTTGGCACGTCTTGCGGTGCGTCCCCATTGCACGTCCTCTGGCACGTCGCCTAGCGCGTCCCTTGGGACGTTCCGAAGCGCGTCCCCTTGGCTTGTCCCTTTGTCAAGTAGCTCAGGGGCAGCCACAATGTGCTCAGGCAGCTCGAGCTTAAGATCAAGGCCAGTTCGGTCAGGACTCGGATGCAAAGGAGGACTCGGTCTACAACGCTATACAGCAGAATCGTTCCATGGCACTTCGCAGTTCAGCACGGCGCCGCGCAGCACAGCCTTTGGCACGGAACACCAAGATCGATACATTCAGCATTGCAACCTGGCACGTTTCGTGGCGCGTCCCGTGGCGAGTCCCTTTGGCACGTCGCGCGGCGCGTCCCCTGGCACGTCCCGTGGCACGTCCAGTGGCACGTTCCGTAGCGCGTCCGTTTGGCACGTCTTGCGGTGCGTCCCCATTGCACGTCCTCTGGCACGTCGCCTAGCGCGTCCCTTGGGACGTTCCGTAGGGCGTCCCCCTGGCCTGTCCTCTTGTCAAGTAGCTCAGGGGCAGCCACTATGTGCTCAGGCAGCTCGAGCTTAAGATCAAGGCCAGTTCGGTCAGGACTCGGATGCAAATGAGGACTCGATCCACAACGCTACAGAGCACAATCGCGGCATGGCACATCGCAATTCAGTACGGCGCAGCACAGCACAGCTCCTGGCACGGCACATCAAGATCGATACATTCAGCCTTGCAATTGCTTGTCGCCCAATCAGGTGTCTTGAAGACGTCACCATGCCTTACATTTCTGTACTTCTTTCCGGGTTCGTGGTTCGAGCATGTTCGGCCGCTCCGCGCGCCTCCCGCGCGCCCTCTCCGTGCGCGCAGGACGCAAGGGAGAGGGCGCGATCCAGACGCGGTTGCTCCAGCGCTGAACCCGCCTGCAAGCGTTTGGCGATTTTACTTCGGCCCCCGCATGGACGCGGCGGGCGCCCTCGGTGGAGGAGCAGTTGTGAAACGCGCTTCAATCAAGTCGCAGTTGTGAAACGCGCTTCAATCCTTAGGATAAGCGGCAGTACAGTCAAGATGCTAGAATAAGGAACAGTTTGGGTTCGGAAGGGGCTCGGTGTTCCTTAGTTCGTTCCATGGCTGTTCCTCTAGCCCTCCTCGTGAACGAAGGCGGTTCTAGGGCTTAAAGGGGCTTCGTTCCTTAGCTAGCGTTCCATATTTCAGCGGCCCGACTGTAGCTAACAGCGTCGCAAAACCAGACGCGCGCCGTCTCTCCTCGACCCCCTCGATTCCAGGGATTATCCCATGGGTCCCCGCTCGTTTTTTCCCGGAAGAGCCTGGGGCCCAGGATTCTCGTTGTCTTGGTTTCCCCCCGGCCTCGACTTGCGCAGGGCCGGCGAAAATATTGTAGTGGCCTTCCGCCAGTGCCGCCGTTCCGGGTCGCTTGAGGTGCCCCCCAGATTGGGTTGCGACTCTTCGCCAACAGACACGCACGCACACGCTCGCAGACATTACGCGCACACACGCACACACACACACACACGCGCACACACACACCCACAGGCACACACAAACACACACACATACACACACAACACACACAACACACACAACACACAACACACAATACACAACACACAACACACACAACACACACAACACACACAACACACAACACACACAACACACACAACACACAACATACGCACAACACACAACACACAACACACACAACACACAACATGCAACACACACACAACACACAACACACACAACATACAACACACACAACACAACACACACACACAACACACACAACACACAACACACACAACACACACAACACACACAACACACACAACACACAACACACACAACACACACAGCCACAGCACACACACAACACACACAGCACACACACAGCACACACAGCACACACAGCACACAGCACACACAACACACACAACACACACAACACACACAACACACAACACACAACACACAACACACAACACACAACACACACAGCACACCACACACACACACACACTACACTCACACACGCGCGCCACCTTCGCAGGCACATACACACGCACACGCCGGCAACACGCACACATACACACCGCGCACACCGCACAAACACACACACACCACACAACAGACACGCATTTCACCGCCACCTTCGTCTTCCCCCCATTTGTTTCCCGTTTTTTCGCTCTTGTCCCGTTCCACTTCTCTATCCCTCTTTCCTCGATTTCTTTCCCGCGTTCACGGACAAACCTTACCCCGCGCACGCGCGCACCCCCCCCTCCCTTCCTCCCCTGCAGAGCCACCCCAGCAACCATTCCAGAGGCTGAAGCTCAGCCTCGACGCTGTAGGTGAGGCTCCTTCAAACTCACACGCTGCGGAAGCCTCCCCTTCCCATCCCCCACGCCATCAGAACGCACGCCACCGGAATCCCGCCCTTTTTCTTCCCCCAAAACCCCCTGTCCACAGGCGGGACGGGGGACCGAACCCCCCCCCCCTCTCCACGCCACCGGAACCCACGCCACCGGACCCCCCCCCTTTCTTTTACCCCGGCAGAGCCACCCCGGCCACCGGACCCCCCACTCTCCCCCCCTCTTCCCCCAATCCCCCTTGTCCACAGGCGGGACGGGGGACCGTACCCCCCCCCCACGCCACCGGAACTCACGCCACTGGAATCCCCCCCCTCCCCCCCCTCCCCCTACCCCGGCAGAGCCACCCTGGTCACCCCGCCCCCCTGAAACCCGCACGCCGGATCGACTGATTTCTTTCATATGTAACGACGTCGCCCATGGCAGGCGCGTGAAGAGGTGAGGATGTCCCGAGCGAAACGCTGGTTTTTGAAATTCCGATAGACGAAACACGTGGTGAAGTAAACATTATCGTTTGTTGGCGGATATTCCGAGTCTCGAGCGAAACGCTTGGCTTGCAGAGTGTGTTGAGGATTTCACGAGCGAGGCGCTTGTTTCGTGTTATATACAGTGTTCCTCTTCTGGGGACCAGAATTCAGAGAATGTCTCAGGTGAACTGCTTGTTTTCATGTGCCCAGGCCTTGGGAGTCACGAGCGAGACGCTTGGTTTCACGCGTCCAGGTTGCCCAGGCAGATGTCTAACATGAGGATGTGTGTTGCGAGACGCTTGCTTTCACGTGTCCAGGTCGCCCAGGCGGATCTCTAGCATGCGGATGTGTTGAGAACGTCTCCAGCGATACGCTTGTTTTCGCTTGCCCTGGTCGCCTAGGCGGATGTGCAACATGGAGATGGTTTTAGGATGTGTCGAGCGAGACGCTTGCTTTCACGTATCCAGGTCGCCAAGGCGGATGGCTAGCATGAGGGTGTATGTTGAGGATGTGTTGAGCGAGACGCTTGTTTTCACTTGCCCTGGTCGCCTAGTCGGATGTCCAACATGAAGAAGTTGAGGATGTGTTGAACGAGACGCTTGCTTTCACGTGTCCAGGTCGCCCAGGCGGGTGTCTAGCATGCGGATGTGTTGAGGATATGTTGATGGAGACGCTTGTTATCGCTTGCCCAGGCCGCCGAGGCGGATGTCTAACATGAGGATTTGGGCAGGATGTCTCGAGCGAAACGCTTATGTTCACGCGTCCAGGCTGCCCAGGCAGATGTCCAAGGATGTGTGGAGAACGTCTCGAGCGAGATGATGGGTTTCAAGTGTCCAGGTCGCCCAGGCGGATGTCTAACATGAGGATGTGTCGAGGATGTCCCGAGCGAGACGCTTGTCGCAGTAGAGCGCATCGCAGTCAACCCCGCCTGTCCGTGGGGCGTCCCCTGGCGCGCTGGCGCGTCCCCTGGCGCGTCCCTTGCGACGTTCTGGCGTGAGGTGCCTTGGCACGTCCCTTTGCACGCCACTCGGCGTGGCGGCACGTTCCCTGGCTCGTCCTCTGTCGCGTGTCCTGGCTCTTCCCAGGCGTTTCCCCTGCCCGTTCCGTGGCGCACCCTTTGCAACGTCCCTTGGCATGACGTCCTCTGGCCGCCCCATGGCACGCGCCTTGGCACGTCTCGTGAGAGGTCCCTGACACGTCCAGGGTGCGTCCCCTTTTACGTTCCCTGACACGCCCCCTGGCGCATCCCCTTGTTGCGCCCCTGGCACATCCTGCGGCGCGTCCGTGAGCCTGTGCCCCTCGACTTTCCGGAGCTGAGTCGGATTCCGAGGGCGAGTTGATTGAACGTCCCGCACATTTCTGCTTCAACTAGCTCTGGGGCAGCTACGTTGTGCTCAGTCAGCTCGAGCTTGAGATCCTGATCAGTTCGGTCGGCACTGGGATGCGAGGGAGGACTCGACCCACAATGCTATAGAGCACAATCGTGACATGGCACATCGCATTTCAGCACTGCACAACACAGTGAAGGCCTTCGGCGCGGTACATCAAGATCGATGCACTCAGCATGTCAATTGCCCGTCGCCCAACCAGGTGTCTTGAAAACGTTGCCATGCCTCACATTTCGACATTCCCTTCGGGTTCGTAGGTCGATCATGTTTTCATATGCGCGCTAGGTGAGAAGAAGAGAGAGAGAGAAATAAAGAAAAGGAGAGAGAGAGAGGAATAGAGAGAGAGAGAGAGATAGAGAGAAGGACAGAGAGGGGGTGGGGGGGGGCAACAAACAAAGAAGAAACGAACACGAGATACGGGATCTCTCTCTCTCTCTCTCTCTCTTTCTCTCTTTAAAAACAATAGTTTTATGTGTGTTCTTTTTATATCGGGGGGCGGGGCCCCTCCTCCCCTGCGGGAAACTGAATGAGCCTGGCGCTTGCTTTGCGTCTGTGCGATACGTAAACACTACTGTTCGTTCGCTCTCCTCTCCCTCCGCCTTGTCCTCCCCCTCCTCGTCGTTCTCCCCCATCTTACTTCTCCTCCTCCACCTCCTCCTCCTCTTCCCCATCCGCTTCCTCATCGTTCTCGCCCTTCTCTCCATCCGCGTCTGCCTTTTCCTCCTCCTTCGCATCCTCGCCCTCCTCTTCCTCCCTCCCCTCTCTATCAATTTTCTGATGCTCGTCGTCGTCCCTCCCTCCCTCCCTCGTCCCCATGTTCCTCCTACCTCATGAGGCGTCATGTCTCCCTGGTCCGCCGCCGCTCTTTCTCCGGATATCGAACCCGCAGCCGCCATCCACTCACAGTGCGGAAACCATTTGATGGGACACATTGTGCACGTGATGCATGCAGCGTTTTTGTTTGTTGTTTACACCATCCATGTCATCTGCATGAATGAATGAAAGCGAGCGAAGGGCGCAACGACTCAGGAGCCCAGTATGGATGTTTTTTGTTTGGCCGCGACGTGAAGGAGTTATGGAAACGACACGTAGCACGCTGCGCAAAAAATTACAGGCGGCGAACGCGAACGTCGCGACGAGCGGGGCATTCAAACATTGATGCCCTTTGTAATGTGCGGGGGCAGCGTGCAGCATTGAAAACGCATAAAACATTGGAATATTGACAGGAGTTTGCAAGAACAAGTATTTCAACTAGCACAACCAATAGAGACACGTTACCGATGTGTAAGGCAAGGTTTTTTGCAGTATACATCATAATTTGAGAGCCAAGACGAAACGCGCGAAAGGCGCAGCAAAGGGCGAACAAAAGAAACGCGCTCATACTTGTCCATCGCTCGACATGAGCGTGCTCGACAAACGGAGACTGCAATTACACGCGTTGCGCCCGCGCGACGCGGCCCGTGTTGCAAGCGCGCGCAGGAATCGACGAAGGCGGCCATGGGTGCATCCAAAATTGCATGCCCCATCTGACCCGTTGAAACGCGCTCAAACCGATAGCCAGCAGCACACGTTAAGCGAAAGCGAGAGGTACGCGAAGGACGGGTGAGGGGTGCATTCAAAAGTAAATGTCCCTCAAATATGCGAGGCCCCCGCATGGAGTGAACGCCAATGGGTTTCAAAGCGTCACCATCTGTTCGCGCGCGCTCGCCATGTTGCGCGGAAAAAATTGACGACTTCATGCCAGATCGTTCAATGTTCGCAACATTGCCGCTTCTTTCTTGAATTTTTTAGAGCAAATGTTGGGCGACCGCCCGCATTCAGAATTTATCGAGAATGTGTTGAATTTACCTTTCGCCGCATTCCACGAAACCAGAAGGGCATGTGGGTCGTGGACGAATCTCCGCGAAAAACAAATCTCTGATTGGGGTGGTTCAGGACTCCCTCAACGCGCCCGCATGGGTGGATTACTTCCCGTGACAGCTGGAAGCTGCGGCGCTTCCAATATTCGAAGCGTACATCTTTCATGGCAGACATCCCGCGCCCAAAATCAACGAACAATGCACCTGACTTCTTCATTTGGGCGGCATTCGTGGGATCCTTTCACTGGGGTGCGTCCGACATGGATGAAATCCCTCGAGCAAGTGAGACCGATGGCTCCCTGTTTCGCCCGTCGCGATCCTAATGAATGGCAGGCATCCCGCTCCCAACAAAAACGAACCACGCGAGTAGTTCTTCCCTCTTGACGACAGTAACAGATGACAGGCAGGGACGGGCAAAGCACATGGCCCCAAGATGCATTAGGGCGGCGCTGGGAACGCCTTTCGTTCGCTGGCAAGTGACCCCTCGATTCCCCCAGAGGTTCCCCACGTTTTGCCACCGCATCGGACGTGCCGGCCCAGATTGCGCGAAGACTTCACAACGGGTCCTTCGAGGAATCCCTAGGCTCTTCCACGAGGCTCAAGCTGATCGATGCGTTGGACATTGCTTGTTCGGAAGTCGCGGTCTCGCGACCGTGGAGCGTTCGGCATGGTTTGCGGGCTGCCCGAGGCAGCACTCTGGCGTGGCCTGCTGCAGCCCTCGCGCGAGCCCAGCACAGCCCCACGACGGCCTACGACTGCATGCGATCGGGATCTTTTGCACAGCGTGTCGCTCTGCCGGTCCTGGCCCTTCGCGCTTCGGTGCGACACTCTATCCCTCTCGCGGTCCCCCAGCTCGAAGACCGATTTCTGACCACATCCACCTCTGGATCCTCGATTCTATGATAGGCCCTCGGGGGTGGAAGTGGGTAGTTTTTCCTTCCCCTGGAGCGGGGAAACTGCCCACCTCCACCTCTGGAAACCGTTTTTCGCAAGGCACCTCGGGAAGTGGGTGTGGTCAGAAATCGGTCTCCTACCAGCGTCAACGTCCCGGGCCGTTCCGAGCCTCCCGCCCCGCGGAGCGGGGCGACACGCTGCTCGGTTGCAGCGCGGAGCTTGGCGCCGGGGCCGCCGCGACACGCTAAGCAAAAGTTCCCAGCCGTAGCCCGAGAAAGTCCAAGCCCAGTCCAAGATAGCCCGAACGCCCTCACCACCACGAGGCCAGAATCGCAAGTCCTGTCTGGACGACCTCGCCCCAACGGCCCGCAGACTACTCTGGACAGCCCCGGAGCCATGTCTGTCCCGCCCTCGACGACCAGAGAGCGGGCCCTCCGCCGGCCCCGAAGGACTGCCCAGGGAGCTCCAAAGTGTTCCCGAGGATTCTCAGAGAGATCGCCACCCGCTCCACACTCCCCCCAGCCTCTCAGCCACGCGCAGAGGGAGGTGGGGGGAGGGGGGAGGGCTTCTTAGAAGCACCCCTGCTTCTTAGAAGGCGCGGGCCTTATCTATAGGTGCAAGGCCGGCGCCTTCTAAGATGCAGCCTCCTTCTAAGAAGCCCTCCCCCCTCCCTCCACCCCCTTGTGCTCGCCGCCAAGCCTCATCACAATGGAGCGGAGGTCGGTGTCTCTCCTCCGGTTTCCCCCGCCTCCTTGATCCCTCCTTCCCGTCGCTCCTACCACTTCGTATCCCTGCGGCCCTTCTTAAGCGCGCGACGCGCGCGCGCGTGGGTTGGGAACTTCGGCTTAGGGGCGTCGCGCGGCGCACCGGGTCCGGGGGCCCGGGGCGGGGACCTCGACCGCAAATGTGCACCCCGGGGGGCCCGGAGGCTCGTCGGGGCTTGCCGGAGGCCTCCCCAGTCAGGCAAGACGGCCCAAGAAGCGCCCAAGACGGCCCAAGAAACTTCCAAGAGGCCTCCAAGAGGGCTCCGAGATGCTGAAGATGGCCTCCAGACGTCCAAGGACGCCCCCAAGAGGCCCCAAGAAGCCTCCAACATGCGTCCCAAGAGGGCCCCTAGACGCAAAAATTGGCCCATTCCCTTCGTAAAACGTACATTTTCAACAAAGTTGTCTTTTGGGCTTTCCGACGTTACAGGACGGCCCAAGAGGCGCCCAAGACCGCCCCAAGACGGCCCAAGAAGCTTCCAGAGGGCCCCAGGACAGCCCAAGAGGGCCCCAAGACGGCCCAAGAGGCGCCCAAGATGGCCCAAGAGGGCCCCAAGACGGGCCCAAGAGGGGGCCCAGAGGGGGACCACGAACCGCAAGCTCGAGCCTTCCGCCCCAAGAGGCCGCCAGGAGGCCCCCAGGAGGCCCCTCAAGAGGCCCCAGGAGACCCCAGACGTCCAAGGACGCCCCCAAGAGGCCCCAAGAAGCCTCCAACATGCGTCCCAAGAGGGCCCCTAGACGCAAGAATTGGCCCATTCCCTTTGTAAAACGTACATTTTTAACAAAGTCGCCTTTTGGGCTTTCCGACGTTACAGGACGGCCCAAGAGGCGCCCAAGACCGCCCCAAGACGGCCCAAGAAGCTTCCAAGAGGGCCCCAGGACAGCCCAAGAGGGCCCCAAGACGGCCCAAGAGGCGCCCAAGATGGCCCAAGAGGGCCCCAAGACGGGCCCAAGAGGGGGCCCAGAGGGGGACCACGAACCGCAAGCTCGAGCCTTCCGCCCCAAGAGGCCGCCAGGAGGCCCCCAGGAGGCCCCTCAAGAGGCCCCAGGAGACCCCAGACGTCCAAGGACGCCCCCAAGAGGCCCCAAGAAGCCTCCAACATGCGTCCCAAGAGGGCCCCTAGACGCAAAAATTGGCCCATTCCCTTCGTAAAACGTACAGTTTTAACAAAGTCGCCTTTTGGGCTTTCCGACGTTACAGGACGGCCCAAGAGGCGCCCAAGACCGCCCCAAGACGGCCCAAGAAGCTTCCAAGAGGGCCCCAGGACAGCCCAAGAGGGCCCCAAGACGGCCCAAGAGGCGCCCAAGATGGCCCAAGAGGGCCCCAAGACGGGCCCAAGAGGGGGCCCAGAGGGGGACCACGAACCGCAAGCTCGAGCCTTCCGCCCCAAGAGGCCGCCAGGAGGCCCCAAGGAGGCCCCTCAAGAGGCCCCAGGAGACCCCAGTCGTCCAAGGACGCCCCCAAGACGCTTCGCGTCACCAATTTCTTCTCGCAACGATTCCTGGGTCTGTGACTCGACAGAACCTAAGCGCGCGCGAAGCGCGCGCGTGGTTCTATATGTATATATATATATATTATATATATGTGCGCTTTTCATGTGCAGCGATGCACATACATACGTGTGTACATATATATGTACATATATTTGTATGCACATTCACACATAGTTACATGTGTATATATATATATATGTGTGTGTATTAATGCACCTATGTATGATAAAGATATATAGATGGAGGATGCGGAGAGACAGATTTAGCGTCGGCTCTGTTGGTCCGTCTCGGGGCCCTTGCTGGGACCTTCCAGGGATGCCTGGGCGCTCTCTTGGGGCCTGTCGGGAGCATTCGTGGGCAAACTGAGGCCGCCTTGGGGTCCTCGGCGGGCCGTCTTGGTTCCGACGAGCTCCCTGTGGGGATCGTCGGGGGCTGTCCTGGCGGCCTCTTGGACCGTCTTGGGCGATGGTACGCCGAAAGGCATGCTGCTAGCACTCAAGGGAGGAAAAAACACCTGGACCGGACAATTGGCGTTTACTAAGCGGCCCTGGGCGTTTACTAAACAGCCTTGCCCTGCTTTATTATTTCCTTGTGTGCGTTTACTAAACGGCTTCGCGAGTCGGGGAGGTTAGTATCGGGGAGGATATTCTTGCCCTCTAGACACTGCGCGCAAGAACCAAATATTGAGCCCACAGAGCGGGATACAGGGTTGGCCCCCTCATAGGGGGAAGTCTGCACGCAGAGTTTGAACTCATTGGGTGTGGGGGGTACTGCGCCGAGTCCTCCTCCTCCTCCTCCTCCTCGACCCCCTTCCTCCCTCCCTCCCTGCCTCCCTCCTTCGTCCTCCAGGATCGAGGCGTTGGGCACGCGTCTGACACTCCTCGAGCCTCCAGAGTGGGCCGACAGGTGCGGTACCAATCGTTGCAACGTTTCTTGGGGTCGTGTTGGCGTCCTTTGGGAGGGGGTTGTAAGGCCTCGGGGGCCAGTGGAGAGCCTGTCGTGGTTCATGGGGCACGGAGTGCGCAATGGGTGTGCCGAGTGGAGGCTCCGAGGAGCCGCTTCGGGGGCCAGGTGAGCGCCCCACATGCGCGAAGTGCGTGAGGGGTGTGCCGCGGTTTCGTGTTTCCAGGCTGTATGTTTACGTATCCCATGGGCCCTGAGGCCCAAACCATTTGTATGTTTACGTGTCACAGGGGCCTGAGAGCGCAGCTTACTCGTCATTTCACGTGCCCCACGAGAGTATGGAGCAGGAACTGCGTGTTCGGTGAACTGGGTTGAGGCTTCCGTGGCCTTGAGGGCAGGCCATTCGTATTTTTACGTGTCCCAGTAGCTGTGATGCAGTCCTGGTTTGCGTTGGCCGACGGAATGGGCGAGGCAGCGTTTGGCATGCCTCCTGCGTGCCAGCTCACTCTCTTCCACCCTCCTTTTGGTCTTCGTGTACATTCGGAGCCCGCAACACGGCCAGGGCCTGCAGGAGGCCCGCCGGATGCAATCGCTTCGCTCACTCCGCAGGCCCGTACCGTGTACAATGTTCAGTGGCATTCGGCCCGGCTGGGGCGTTGCCCAGAAGCCTTGTCGGGAGGCTCGTTGGGGTCTCCCGGGGGCCTCGATCGGAGGCCTCGTCGCTGTGGGGGGACCGCTCGTGGCATCTCGGGGTTGCCCTGGGGCCTCCAGGGGGCCCTTTTGGAGGCCTCTTCGGGGGCCTTGCTGGCAGTCTCGGCGGCTATCTTCGGGGAGAAATGGCTCCTAATGGCAGTTCGGGTTCCCCTCTTTGGGCCCCCCTTGGGTGCCTCTGGAGCCCCCTTGGGGGGCCCTCTCGGGCTATCCTGGAGTCCTCCTGGAAACCTCTTGGGTTGTCTTGGGGTGATGTGGGGCCCCCCTAGTCGGAAACTGGAGCATATACATTACCAGCGGCGTGTTGTTTTTCAATCCTTGGACTTTTTGAGGGTCAGGTACGACGTCGGGGTGGTGTGGTGTATAGTTGTTTCCCCGTTTTCCTGGGGAGATGACGAACATGTATACACCAGCATCCCGTATACACCAGGATCCGCTTTCCTGTGCGAATTTCAGTGCAGGGCTCGAAAACGCGTCGGTGTCGTCTTGGTGTCGGAAGCACGAAAAGGCGATGACGCGAACGTCGCTGACAAGACTTAAAGACAATCACATATGTTTGCCCCTCGGGGCCTCCGTGGGGTTATCTTGGGGCTCTCTTCACGCGTTTCGGAGGCGTTTCGGAGGCGTCTCGTGCTAACCAGAGATTAATTACCTTGGGCGTGTTTGAGCGCTCTTGGGCCGTCTCGGGCCATCTTGAACTCTCTTGGTGGCTCCATGGGGCGCCATTGGGAGCCTTGGAGGCCGCGCTCAGGACGATTACCATCTTTGAATCGAGTCTGCCGGGAGTCTGCCGGGGCACTTTACGTCCGGGGACTCTCAGGGGCCGTCCCGCGCGCCCCTTGGGAGTCCTGTGCGCCTGCTACTGGAGATCTTACCACGCCTCTGGCCAGTTGGGCCGGCGAATTTGACGTTGCTGGGGGGATGGTTTTGATCGCCTGGGACTCTCCTCGGCCCTCTTGGGACGCCTCTGGATGCTTCTTGCGTGCTGTGTGGGTCTCATGGGCCCTTTCCCATTCCATTCCGTTCCACTGCGAGTCTGGGAGGTGTCTTTGGTTGTCTTGGCGGCCTCTGGGGACTCTCTTGAGCCACTCTGCAGCAGCATTGTTGAAACAGCCTCTCGGACTCCTACTTGGCACGTCTCCTCCATGTCTCATGTCTGCAATTATTGACGCTTTGCGTATCACCAGCAGCTACGCCTTTGTAGTTCAATTCACCTTCGGCAGCTTGCAGCCCCTGGCAGTCAGCAGCCCCTGGCAGTCAGCAGCGCGCCTGCAGCTCGATGCACGTTTGCAGCCCTTGGCAGTTTTGCAGCCCTGCCCCCTCCCCCTCGGCTACCTCCTGGTCCCGGCCTGAGTTGCGGCGGTAGGCCTGCTTGCGCTACGTAACTTAGGACTTCGCGCGGCCCGCTCGGACCTTGACACGCCGTCGGCGCGCTCACCTGCGGCTGGTACCAAAAAAGTATCTCCAGCAGCCCATCCGTGAACGATTCCCAGGCGAGATGTCGTGTCAGGGGCGGCGGGTGGAGCACTGGCGCAACAATGAAAGGGTGCACCAGTTCAACCAAAGCTGCCGAAGCTGCGGTCAACCTGAACATCGGCCATACATTTTTCACTTGGCGACCTTTGAGAGCCCCTTGCAGGCTGCTTCGGGCTATTTGAAGGCTCTGTTGGGGTCCTTTGGGGTATCTTGGGGGCCATCTCGGCGCTCCCTCGGGGCCCTTTGTGGGACCTTGGCGGGCCCGTGGGGTTGTCTTTCAGGCAATCGACCGCAATCCTGCTTGGCTTTCGGCCCTCGTGATTATTGGAGCCTTCTCGGGGTGCTCTTGTGGGGCCTTGGGGCCCTCTCGGGGTCCTCTTAGAATACTCTGAGCCTCTCTGGGGCCCATCCGAAGCAAATAGACGAGACAGCAAACAACAAATTTAGTGATAACGCGCTACAAAAGCTGCGTGATTTGGGCATGTTCGGGGCGTCCTTGGGAGGCTGTGTTGGGGTTTTTCGGGTGCATGTTCGAGGCCATCTTGAGCAAAATCAGAGGATTTTGCTTGATCGTTGGGGAAATTTTGGCCGGTTGGGACCGCCCTGGCCCTTTTCTGTTGTGCCAGCACGGACCTTGCGACACCTCGCGCCCCCCCGTCCACACACACACACACCGGGGACAAGGTACGATGGTAGACTCCCCCCCAGAGGGGAAAACGGAGTCGTTCTGCAAGGGCTGATGCCCTTGACCGCCCGTGTCCAGAGGGCTGTGAATTGTGAGCCCCGCTGTGGAGAGACCGACGGAGCTGGAGGAAACGTCTCACACGGCGGGTGATCCCGAGAAGGGTCGGCGGACTTCCTCCTCAAGTACTTCGACATCCGTCAGAAGGCGCGCCAGGTTCGGGCGACGAAATCTATACGTGTCCACTGCTCCCTGGCCAGGCCCATCCTGAACCCAGGAGCCTGTGTATACGCCTTCCTGGCCAAGCCAGGAGGGCGTGGCGTGTACACCGCTGCTGGC